CACATGACTACAAACTGTCATTTGATTGGCTGAGGTATTCCAAACCTCAGCCAATCAAATGACAGTTTGTAGTCATGTGATCCTGCAGATAGACAAACATTGGACATTGAACATTGGAATTCACAGTCAGTACCAGTGAACTCGGAGTTTGCTCGAGTTTGCGCGAATTTGTTCGAGTTTGCTCGAGTTTGCTCGAGTTTGCAAACTAAAGTTTGCTAGTGTAGACAGGGCTTTAAACGTCCTATTTTGAAGCACGCCAGTTGACGTACTTTCGAGCCACGGCAATTTTTTGACAAAAATGGGAATTGCCATTAGTCAGTTCAGGTTCAACGGATTTTGCTCATTTTTGGTATGTGAATGAATAAGGGCTAGGGGTTTTGGTATTTTAAAAAAAATTATGCAAATTAGGTAGGGTTTGGCAATTATATAGCATTATATAGACACAAACAGTCTGTGGTGTCACACTTGTCTGGTTCGTTTTAAAAGATTTCATTGACAATATCTTTAATGAAAAATTGGTATTTCCTCTCCACCCTGCCGATAAAACGTCTATATTAGAGTAAAGTTTTACAAAACATGTCGGAACGCAGCATAACCTATTTATTTCGAACGCCATCGCTACAAAACGGGTATAGCGCCATCTACGGTCACAAATTGTGATTCATTTTGGTTTATAAATTATTATTGCGATATACAGATGGCAATTGTTTCTATTAAGTATGACGATGGTTGCTCAATTAAAACTGACTTCTTCTTACTCACTCATTTCTGTCCTTTTTTGTGGTGAGCTACAGTGTCATTGACACTTTCATTTATGATAATTTTGTACTCTAATATAGGAACAAAGAGCAGTGGATCAACAGCTCCAAAAACTGAAAGTCTTCACCCGTCCTGGGCAGCAAGCAAGATGAAAAAAGAAGCACAATCTAAAATACTTCCATTCCAGGGGAAAAAGATTGTATTTGATGATTAGTTCCACCTACTTGTGCTTATATCGAGATGATTTGTAAAGAAACGAGAACACATTATTGAATGATTGTTACTACATGGTTTGTATCATGTAAACGTACAGAATATAAGCGTAGAACATGCAACAAGAGATTACAGCATGGAAATATAACACAAATAGATTGTTACCATATTACATAACTGGTAATTGTAATATGTACTAATGTAGAAAGTAAACGTGTAACTGATGTGGTTTAATGTGGCATAGCACATATTATTATCTTGTAGTATAATATGTTTGTGTTGCAGTGGAAAATATGGAGGATATACTTTATTATATTTATTGTCTTCTTTATCATCATATGTGTTGGCAATTGTTGTTTTTTTGCAAAAATATAGTTTATGGCATATGTACACCACTTTTTAGCTTGGCCACTAGGTGGTGCTAGCATCGTAATCATGGAAGCCGTACTAAAGGCAAATGTTTACTGGGCACAGACAGCTGATTCTGTTAGTCTTCGGGTAGATTTAAAAAATGTCTCGGTGAGTGAAAATCAACGGTTAGTGTTCAGTTATGTAACTGATTACGTTTCATAAAACACAATGAGCGGCATCACAATTAACCGACCCGGTAGATCACAAGCTCGTTAGCAAAGGTCTCAGGCAATCACACAATGGCCTAGGGCTAATCAGTAAATCACTAATCAGCGTTAGTATTCGGCCGTAACATCTCTGGTTACTAGGTTAATGCTAGATACAATAATGTAACCCAAACCCAAGAGGATAGGGTTACAAAGTGTCCCTATCCTTTTCTGCGGAGGAATGCCCGAGTGAATCACTCGGGCCGGTTTGCTGGTGCGTTTTCAGAGACTAGAACTTCCAAACTGGGTTTATTCTAAACACGAACCTTTCTCCGCTATCTGGGAACTTACTATGTATCGCAATACTA